ACGAGTCAGGAAGAAGAGGTAAAAGGAAGGTGGATGAAGTGCAGAAGGATTCATCCTCTAAAAGACACAAATCCGAAAGCTCGGTCGCAAAACAGTCCACGAAGAAGGTATTTTTGATATTTTTCAATTATTTACTTATTTTAAGCATACCTATATTCATTTTAATCGATGGGTAATGTGTATGGATGAAGTATTTTGAATTTGTGATGTATATTACATAGAATTTGTTGTGTGGATTTGTAATCGATATGCCGGATTGTAGAAAGGATTTTTAATTTTTTTTTCAAAAGTGGTTGTTCATTTGTGAATTATGGAACGCTATTGTGTCGTTTTGTATGTGTGTTGATTTCTTTTTTGGTGGAGGGGACCTGTGACCTATATGTTGATGTTGTGTCTACTTGGATTCCCACTTGTGACCAAACTGATGAGTTTTATTGTGATCGATGTTGCAGGCATGGAGATACATTATACCTAAGAAGAGTTGGTTTCCTAGTAAAATTACAATTACCCCCGTCAAGGGTGTGGTGTCGAACTTCAAAAATAATCTCAATGAAGCCCAACGTCGAATCCTTCAGAATACATGTTTCTCCCACTTCCTGCAATGCGAGGAAATTGTTATCCAATCTCAGCTGATACACTACTTTCTGCTGAGACAAGTGCAACAACCTAATGAGAGTGAGCTGTGGTTCAACATAGCTGGAAGATTCGTAAGGTTCTCAATTTCAGAGTTTTGTTTGGTGACTGGTCTGAGATATGTCGGCGATGCTGACATAAGTAGGATGGAGAAGACTCCATCACGATTGAAAAATTTGTATTTTTCAACGTTGAAAAATGTTACTCGTGAAAACATCAAGGACGCATTTCTTGGTTCTATTGACATTCTGGATGAGGATGTTTCCATACTAGGTGCATTGTATTTCATAACATCTTATCTACATCCGAGAGACTACAAGAAGGTTGTGGATCACTTCTTATTTGTACTAGTTGAAGATTTTAGTGCGATGAACGTGTTTCCATGGGATAAGTCGCTGTTTGACACACTAGTAAATTCATTGAGGGAGGGGTTGAGTAAGAAATCAACACATTACAGACTCAGAGGCTTGCTTGTAGCCTTTCAAGTGTAGATTTACAAGACAATTCCCAATCTCGATGGATACACAGCGAGAAGGATTTCCAGAGTGTACCCCCGGATAATGAACTGGGCGGTTGATGATCACCCTTCGGCTGCGAAGCTCGAAGGGCCTGAGTGCTTCTCCAATCCGGACGTAAGTGACCACTGATGCAGCATTACTGGTTTTGAAATATTAAACTGCATATTTTTTTCATGTTCCAGATCATATTTCTTAGCTCACAAATATATTTTCGTCAAGTCACAAATTGCATTCATGAAGTCACAGATTTTATTCATTATGTCACATGTTTTCAATATAGGTCATAGACATTTTCACAGCGCCATTTGCCCTTGTTATATCACAAACCATGGAAACATATTGAATATGTGTGATGTGCAAAATTTTTGGTTGCTGACATTGCACTTTTTGTAGCATAGACCGATCAGTTCATCGTGCTGGGACTAGTACAAAGCCAAGTAATTCGAGAATGAAACAATCTACTCCCATGCTTCTGATAACTGATGGACGACTGTGACACTCTGATCTCCCCATTGATGATGATGACTTTGTTGACCCACCACCCAGTTGGAAGGGGACATCAATCCATGAAGATTCTCCAAGTGGGGAGCGTAAGTCATATGACACTACTGATTCAGAGGATATGTCGTCAATAGATGTAAGCTCTTCCAATTTCATCTATCATGTCACAAGTCCATTTGGTCACATAAAAATTCAGGTCACATATTTACGTCACATAAAAATTCTCAGGTCATAGGTTTTAGTTATTATGTCACATATCAATACACGTTTCACTACTAATCACAGATCAATGTTATATTTCATCATCATAAGTTACCTGATTATAGGTATTCATGTGAT